TTGCGCAATGCTATTTTTTCATGAAAGTTTGCTGTCGATCTACCTCGAAACAGAATAGGCCGTTCCCGCACCGTTGTGTGAACCGTTCATTGTGTTATAGGGGCGGTCGGGTAGCCAAGTGGTAAAAGCGTGATATTGCTGGAATATTGGTAAAAGCGGCGTAAAACTATAGTCACTCACTCACTCACTCATTGTGTTGTGATTCGACTGGACCTTGCGTATCACTTAGCCTGAACCAATTTGGAGATGATAGGCTTCATATCGCCAATTATGATCATATGGAATGTAATTGAATACTTACATACGTATGTTGTAATTTACGATAGCTCCCCTATTTACAATTAGTCTACATTCCAATATAATAACCATTTCCTACATCACGTTTCAAATTAAAACAACAATATTTCGAAATAAGATGAAATCCTGGCAAATGTGTATATATTTGTGGTGGTGGGGTGGCTAGTGGTTAAAGCTCGTCACGCCGAAGACCCGGGTTCGATTCCCAAATGGGTACAATCTGTGAAGCCAATTTCTGGTGTTCCCTGAAAGCCGCGTACAACAATACCCACTCACTCACTCACTCTAGTATATCTTTAAGTGGAATTTTAGAAGCTATAGTATGTTCGCGAAAGTATCTTGTAAATATCACAACTACTCTTAAAGATTCCTACATGCTAAGGCGAGGTGAAAACCAGGTTGAAGGCTTATCTCGCCAGGCCGATGACCCAAGTTCTGTTCTCAGAATGTAACAATGGGCGAAGACCATACTTGCTGCTTCCGCCGTTATGTATTTAACGTTGCCAAAAACGGCATAAAACATTACGCTTACTCCCTAATATTAACGTAAGAGTATTCGATACCAATGTCAGTTGATCACATGTTGTTTGTAAGTCATGGTATGATAGTTTCCCATTCTAGTTTATGTCTTCGGGGTCAGTAGCCGTAGCCTGCCAGCGCCGAACTTGCATCTGTTGCTACGCAACACATAAACCTAAAACCACAGAATGATTCAACCAGATTCATAAAATGAACAACAGATGCCACATTTCCGCTTGATAGCGTGTCGCCATTGTCCCACCACACCGCTGTACCCTCCTCACACATGCAGATCCCAACATATAACCAGTTACTTTGACATTTAATGCTGAACATTGTACATTATATCTCACAACGAGAATAAATCGCTTGATTGACGTCACACGGGCCCCAATAAGCCCATCTCATTGTATCCTTAACCAGCTTTACGACTCAGCGACGACTGACAATGACCCTTGTGTGGTATTTCAACTGTATACCGTAGTATATAGACAGGCTCCTAGTTTGTATCATCGTGACGATATGAACAGTTAAGCGTAATGGTATTCAAAGGATATATGTAATGAACTTTTAAGTTTAAGAACATGTCTTCTTGGAGTAATGAGAGTCTTCCTTTAACACAGGTCGACAATCAGACAATTAATTCATGATTCAATTATTAATATATAATAATTAATATATGTCCTTCATTAATGTCATTAAGGTATTGTTTGTTTGTTTGTTTGTTTATTATAACATAAAACGTCAATGCCAGAGAACTAACAGTCTTGATCATCCGACAAAACAGACTCCAGTTGGCATAAAAAAAACAATATAGCAGAAAATAAAACAAATAATGTAACAGGACTTACAGAGATAATAAGTAGACAATCTCACCCGAGTGTCTTTTGATATCAAATATATCAACACGAGTTGATAAAAGTGGAAAAATTCCGAGGCTTGCCGAGGAGGGTTTTTTTTCACTTTTATCAACGAGTGTTGATATATTTGATATCAAAAGACAGCTTTTTCACTTTGTAGACAGTTATAAGCAGTGTCTTAAGTGTAAAAAGTACTGCTTATCGCCGGAGTAGCAGAGCCATTAGTGATGTCATTTGATTGTGACGTCATGGTATGTGCAGCGATATCTACAGTGTAGATATCGCTTGATATCACCCAAGCGATATCTCCTGTGGGAGTCAGTTTTGGATGAAAAATATTATTGATTACACAGTAAATATTTTTGAGTCATTACGTTGAAACGGTTGTTCCTATATAGACGGGGCAGTCGGGTAGCCTAGTGGTTAAAACGTTCGCTCGTCACGCCTAAGACCCGGGTTTGATTCCCGACATGGGTACAGTGTGTGAAGCCCATTTCTGGTGTCCCCCGCCGTGATATTGCTGGAATATTGCTAAAAGCGGCGTAAAACCAAACTCACTCACTCCATACACAGACAGACTTTTACGAGCCGCATAGTCAGGGCTAATTAGTTCGAACAATTCTATTCTTGGTATGCTTACTTCGTACTATTCGAAATATCCAGTTTCTCAACGCACAGCATGCTCGGTTTTCTCGAAGTAGAGAGAAACATTATTGGATAAAATACATTTCGAGATAGAGAGAAAATAGTTATATGAATTAATATTAAGGCTTTGGAGCTGCCAGACTCGATTATTTTCAGACCGCTGTCATACAGGTGGAATATTGCTGAGTGCGCTGTTAAACAACAAACAAACAAACACAACTTTGGAGCTATGCTGTTTCATATATATCTCTGTGCTTGAATAAATTGTATATTGTATTGCTATAGTAGAATGTTGTTGATAAAAATAATGCATTTGTATCAATATCGATTTACTTATTCATATCTGAGTGTGAGTGAGTTAGGTTTAACGCCGCTTTTAACAGTATTCCAGTTATATCACGGCGTGTCAGCTTAATGTGGGAGGAAAGCCCGAAGTGACGCAGGTCTCCGACGTTTACCACTTCGGTGAAACCCACGAGCAGGGGTATGCTGACAGACCCAGAAACTTAATCGGGGCGAACCGGGATTCGAACCCACAATCATTGATTTCTGGCGTACCCAAGGGACGCAACTCTGCACAGCAAATCGCGGCGATTTAGACGACTGGGCCACCCGTGCCCCTTTATTCGTATCTGAAATAGCAGTAATCGTGTTACACCTTCCTTTCAATCTCCGTATCTGTCAATACAGCTGTTTATATAGACTATTTTGCACATCAGAGAATATATTTACCTTGAATCCAATAACTTCCTTTTTGTCGAATCTAAACACATCCATCAACAAAGGCTTGTTTCATGTATACAACCATAACATACCTACATATGTATACAAACATATGTATAACAAATACACCTACATACCAATCGCGTTTACATACACACACAGTGAACTTTATTGAGTCTGGACGATCAATGGTCACCTGTCTGTCCTGGGCTATGATATATATGCACGTCAACAGGGTTTGTTGTGTGTCAGGTAAGCTTGTATTTACCTCAAGGCCTGACCTGTCACTTGTCATCATCTGTTTTCGGCAACAAATAGCACTTTGTATGACTTATTCATATTTAATAAGTCTACATGGGGGTAGCTGAAGAGGCTTGCTGTGTCGCAGGCGGAACTGAGATATGAAGTCAATGAATAGGGCTGGGGAAAGTATGGGTTGACAGATCAAGGGTCATGAATCGGCACGTGAGGCGGAACGCGCGGTTTGGGAGGGACAATGAGAGGGGGGCTTGTGAATGACACCCTTTAGAACTTGACGGGTAGTTCTACCCATCCGACATTTTTTGGGAGTCAGAAACTGCTGGTTGACGACATGCTTGGTGTGATATGCAGATGTCGTTGACAGACAAAGGCTGTTTTTTTATATGATGGCCTATTTTGGTTAAGTCAGATTACAACCTATTTGTTGACATTAATACAGATTCAACCTAAAGCACCACATGGAAGCATTATTTTTTATTTCAACACATTTTCATTGTTCAGCAGCGTTTTGAAATTTCAACAAAAATATTGTATCAATAATTAATTAAAATTAGCTTAATGTCCCAAAGTTTCATATATCATAGGCTGCAAATCGCAGTCTTCTTGAATTGAAACGGTCCACAATAAAATATTCACTCAATCCAGTTCATAGCTTCCATATTGTTATTCAGTGGTAATTCAGTACAGATAAATAAGCTCCAAGTTTCACCTGTATTGTTACTAGGCAGTCAGTAAAATCAACGCTATATATCACTCCTAGCTGTGATATATAGCATGTCGATAGATGTAAGTGACCCACACGTGTAATGAAAACCCGTGTTTATTGCATGTCGATTGCAAGCCATAATGTAATATACACACACAGAGCCTTGTTTATGCCATGTCTATAACATGCCGTGGATGTAATACTCGAGCAAATATCACGAACTTGCTGACATTTATCTACTCTTGAACTCAAATGTCACCAGAGGCCCCCCATGTTTGAAGTCGGCATAAACAAATAACGACTGTCATCTACATGTTGGAAAAAAAATTTTTTTTTTTTTTTCAAAGGCCTCAAGATGCACTTGAAATGACATGAAACATTTCAATATTCTGAAACTTGACGCAAAAACTGATGATGCGAAATGTGAATTAGTATGAATTGGTGACATACTTAAAAGTTCGTGTAACATGCTTTATTAATTGGTTATTATTACATGCCGTAATTTCTATTTGACATGGAAAACATGCATTGACCTCAGATCGTGATATTCCTAAATCAAGTTCAATCAAGACAATAAGACCTGCGTATTTTGTATCAGAATGGTCGAGTCTGTGGTGTTCACAACACAGTGTTTATGCTGAAATGTCCGCGGGTGTAGTTAGTGTTGAATGCCTCGACAGTTCCTTATCAGTGAGCCCACGAGTGGGTAATATTTGTGTCTGAAGAAATCATGTGTTCATGATCTGACATCTAGAACATATCATATGAACAGGTAGGAAACGACAAACCGATCGAAAACTGATTAACAACATCAAACACTTACCTGTGTTAAATGTGGTAACTTATCCCCGTACAACTGTGTGGCGTATGGACTCAGTAGTGAAATAGCAGGGTAATAGTATATCCCCCTGTCGCACACACTGGGTAGACTGTGCTCCGCATAACGCCTGGTAGGTGGCGCTCCGGGTTACGGGTAACTGAGTACTCACCTAGAGCTCCTAACAGGCGCACCAAGGTTATTCCATCCGAAACAGCCCGTCTCAGATCGTCGATTAGTGGGAGTTTTGCTTTCCTGAGGGTCTCGTTTACCCAGGTTGTGTGTTCCTGAAAAGGATAAGTTTAGTGGGCACTGGTGTTAGCCGTTAAGGTATGCTCTGCACAGCGACATTTCTGTGCTGTAGAGTATTCGTGAATGAAAGACGCTGCCATGCATGGGCACATATAATACTGCAGAAACCACATAACTTAGCACTGGACTGTAGCGATGAAGTAATAGGTTTATGTCCAGTTTATCTCTTACTGTTGTTTTAAGCTAAGGTTGGTCTTGATTCATACTAAGGCTATTTTTTGCCAGCTTTGACACGTAAATACTCTGGTCCAGGTATGCGAAGTACACTGGCGGGCAAAAGAAAGTATACACCCATGTTTGCAGGTGGCTAATATGAAACAAACAAGACATGATTGTTCGATGGTGACGTATTCGATACGGGTACCATAGGCGATATTTCATGCATAATATTAATATAATATTGATAATTTTTGTAATTTTTGTTGTTATCAAACCCAATTTTCAAGTGTATACTTCCCTTTGCCCGGCAGTGTATTAACTGTACGAGCAACCAACCACACCTTCTGTGTACAATGAAACACAATCTGTAGATCACACATCTGAGACACCGGCTCCTCACTTTAATCAGGACATATTTTGTAAAAGTGAAATCGTTGAAATATCTCTTTGACAATTGTGTTTCGTTTTTTAAATAAAAATCCTCATTCAACGTATAGTACACATATGACAGACATTATAAATTTACACCTCAACACGATGATATTTAAAAAAAAATATAAGTAAACAATCTGACTGAAACAATAAGAATTAAAATAAATGTGTATAAATATGTATCATGCTGTTAGTTTATAAAGTAGAAACATTCAGGTTTAATGTTGATGTCTCGATTAATATGCTCTTGACTGGGCTCCTGACTACCTAGAAAAAGCGCTAAGCTTGCGTCGCGTACCAACAATGGAACCAGTTTATATATTTCAATCATCTAGCGGTGTGGTAGGCAAGTGGTTAATGTTTTCCCTCGTCAAACAGAGGACTGGATTCGATCCCGATATGGGTACAATATGTGAAGCCCTTCCTTGATGTCCTCCATAATATAGCCAGAGACTATTTCAGTCAATATTCATGCTGGTGCTTTTGAGATTTTTAATTCGCGTACAATATTCGTGCAATTGTGTTTAAAATGTGTCACAAAACGGGTGGCCCAGTTGTCTAAGGCGCCGCGATTCGCTATGCAGAGTTGCGTCCCTTGGGCACGCCAGAAACCTATGATTGTGGGTTCGAATCCCGGTTCGCCCCGATTATGTTTCTAGGTTTGTCAGCACCATACCCGTGCTCGTGGGTTTCACCGAAGTGGTAAACGTTTGAGACCTGCATCACTTCGGGCTTTCCTCCCACATTAAGCTGACACGCCGCGATATAACTGAAATACTGTTAAAAGCGGCGTTAAACCCAACTCACTCACTCACTCACTCTAAGGCGGAGGTCGTGATCAGTGTATTTTTCTACAGGGAAGCTCAAAAGTGTGAAGAAATAATGGATAATAAAGACATTATTACACTGGTATGTTTCATACTGATTTTACGAATCTCGTATAAGAACTCATGTATAACCATCGCTCTCGCTCGAGAAATACCAGAAGTTAAACTGCAGCATGCTATCCCAGTGAGCTAGCACTATAAATCGGCATCAGTCCGGACTATTATAAGCACACACACACACACACACACAGACACAGACACACACACACACACACACACACACACACACACACACACACACACACACACACACACATACACACACACACACACACATACACACACACACACACGTCGCTATATAAGTGTAATACTCATGGACGCGACGTTAAACCCAATTTCACCCTGGTTTTTCAACCCCGTCTGAACTTACGTTGGTGCTGCTGTAAACCCGACAGGTCGTTCCTGACCAGACCTGACAGAAATGCAATCGGGGACCCGGGGAACTAAACACTTGACGCGGTCCCCCAGCACGGAGTAGTGTGTTGACTTACAGGCACGAAATAACAATTACAGCAACACTAAATCCCATAATGTCGGCAGTGGTACAAAGTTACCTATGTTAAACACCCGGCATTGCCCAGGGTCACACTGCCGTCGGATAACGAAATATGAACTCCACCTTTGCGTGGTTTGAGGACTATTTTCAATCTGGTTTAGTTTGTTTGTGAATCTGATCTGCCTGAGAGAGGGGGTGGCGATTAGAGCCCGCGACAGGTGTAACGCTATAACTTACGCACCTGTGCGTGGCTGTTCAGGTGTGTCATTGATCTTGTTATAATCGGTTATTGAGTGATCGATGAATGATCGATTACTGATTCATATCTCTAATCACATTATAACACGGCATGTTGAAATGGGAATGCAATTAACTGTCCGGATAACGGTATAGAATATGTAATCCGTTACGTTCCAAGTGTTAAACTCATGTCTCCGCACTTGGAGGCAATGTATGACTACATTGCATTGATAATATAATAGTTGAAATACCGGGCGAGGCTTGTGCAATTCGCAATAAAGGATTCTTAAAGTAGATCCCGTCGTGAGATCTCGTGAGATCTCGTGAGAATATAAATTTCAACGGATCAAATTCTCGGCATATAATACAGCATATGCCTCGTTAAGTACATGAATTTCGTAAGATTGCAATACCGTGTAGCATCGCTCGTACTCATCTAGCATAGAACGGGGTAATACACTGAACGGTGCGTATCATACAGTTATGAATGTCTGTTGGTATGTGTGAGCCGGTTATAACAGAAATCATATGTTTTTGACCATCTGTATAAAGTCAAAGGCTGTCTAAAGTGCTTAAAATGTATTGGGAAAACATAATATAGGAAGGCAAATATTCTACTAATAGCAACTGTTCACCAACTGAAATGCATAAAAACCATGAATAAGTACCTATACCAACTGTCAAACAACCTCATCAAGTTTCAGTGTTAACATACGTATATTGTCATGGAGGGAGTTTGGTCAAAAGTTAACGCCGCTTTGAAAAGTATTCCAGTATATCACAGCGTATTCGGACAAACGCGTACAAATACGCATACACTACACGAAGAAACTCACCAAAACTACACCTCGTACATGTGAAACATTTCCTGAAATCAGAGACTCTATTATATGGTCTCTGCTGAAATATATGTGGTGGTCTGTGGTAGGCATGTTCGCAGCAAATCAGACGTTCCCAGGTTCGAATCCACGTACAATCTAACCCAACCTTCAAAGAACATGGTGACCCAATCCACTTTGATATAAGAAAGGGATGACATTACAAGGCCACATACATATATCTAATTGTTTTTAAACGTGTTTGAAATAACATTTTATACCCGTGCAACAGCATTTGTATACACCATCAGGTGCAGGCTGTTGTTTGTACCCATACAACAGCACCGTGTATACCCCTACAACAGCCCCGTACACCCCATCAGGTGCAGCGTCGTTGTTTGTACCACTACAACAGCACGTATACACCACCATGTACAGGTTGTTATCTGCACCCCTACAACAGCCCCGTATACCCCATCAGGTGCAGCGTCGTTGTTTGTACCCCTACAACAGCACGTATACACCATCATGTGCAGGTTGTTATCTGCACCCCTACAACAGCACGTATACACCATCATGTGCAGGTTGTTATCTGCACCCCTACAACAGCACGTATACACCATCATGTGCAGGTTGTTATCTGCACCCCTACAACAGCACGTATACACCATCATGTACAGGTTGCTATCTGCACCCCTACAACAACACGTATACACCATCATGTGCAGGTTGTTATCTGCACCCCTACAACAGCACGTATACACCATCATGTACAGGTTGTTATCTGCACCCCTATAACAGCAGGTATACACCATCATGTACAGGTTGTTATCTGCACCCCTATAACAGCAGGTATACACCATCATGTACAGGTTGTTATCTGCACCCCTATAACAGCACGTACACACCATCATGTACAGGTTGTTATCTGTACCCCTACAACAGCACGTATACACCATCGTGTGCAGGTTGTTATCTGCACCCCTACAACAGCACGTATACACCATCAGGTGCAGCCTCTGTTGTATATATCTGCTACCATCTCTTTGTCAAAGTGTCTGGGCGAGATGCAATCAGCGCATGCACAATACCCAGCTAGTGCAGTATCGCTGTCGCCCGGGTTGAGTGGCTCTCCCAGCGTGGACATGTCAGCACCGCCATAAATCAGATATGAACGGTGCCAGGTTTCCGAGGTCATTCATACCTCAAACAATACACCCTACTTACGTGCATTGAATATTCACGACAAAAGCTCCGTGTAATGAGAGGCCCGCGTGTTCGGGACACTTTGTTGTGCTGTATGAAGCCAGGCAAGGGTCTGTCCATCTAGGCAAGTGCTGACTTAAAACTTAGCACCATCACTCAACACCGCCAATCAACACCTTGTCGAACAGTAAAAACATACCGAAACAATACAAAACACGAACTAAAAAAGTCGGATTGGCATGTGGGTTCCATGATCCGTCGTTTTTTCAAATAGCTAAACAAAACCCCTTGATTGTGTTATATTTAAATCATGTCCAATTAGAGTTAAAATCGATTAAAATAATCCAATTGACTGACTTTCGAACACTCACTGTTTGAAAATACAGTTTTGCACCATCATGTATGCCATCGAATGTTAATTTCGTAGATTGATGCTCATGATGTCAATCACTGGATTGACGGGTCCAGCCTCGATTATTTACAGACCGCCGTCATACAGCTGGGATATTGTGGAGTTCGGCGTTAAACAACAAACACGTTATGTTTTAAGCAAATGTTGTTTACAAACGTTTACAAAACGAGATAAGTCGACATCGGTCGGGATTTACAACCAAATTATTAACCTTGATAGTTTAAACATGAATCCAATATCCTATACCGTATATACGCTTTGGCTGACTGCAATATACGGGTTAAAAATAACAATATGACAGCTATTTCGCAGCAGCCTGTGATACCCATTTTGTATCTGCCCACACAAACCTGTGGGTGATAGCATGAGCACTGATTAACACGGCTAGGGTCCGAGAGGAAACGATAGCACGTGGAAACCAAGCCGATCCAATTTTGATGGCTGTAAATTGAAGCGTGGTTATTAGAGACGGTGTTCAAATCAATAATGGGGGGGTGGGGGGTGGATCAAGCCCTCGGACGCAGACCCACCGCTGACCCCCCGATGACTCTCTTTCATCCAAGGAGATACGGCGGGCTCAGGAGTCCACGCCCCAAACTCTATTTGCAGAGTTGCGTCCCCATAGCTGCCTGAATCCGAGATTAACAACGAATATGATCCTTGTTCTGTCAGCCTCGTTCTCATGGGTTTCACCAAAGTGTTTTGGGGGTCTTTCTTTCAAAATCAAGGTGACGACCGTGAAATAACAAATGTGACCCACCAGGGGAAAAGGGACCCTATGGGCGCTAGGATACAATTGTGCTATGACGTCACAAAGACGTTTGACGTCAATTTACTTCAGTGAAGATCGATATGTGATGTCATGTGTCGCTGTAATAAATATGAATTGATAGTTGTGAATTGTATTTTTGTGTTCCGAAGATGCTGTAGTTTTAAAATATAATGAAAAATCAAAATGTCATTTTTCACCCATAAAGTCCCATAGCTCATGGTTCGTCACAAATGATAATGATGGATGCGGCGTTAAACAACACTCACTCACTCACCATGAAATCCTTCAACGTCTAAAGACTTCAAATATATGTGAAAATGCAATACAAAATACAGTATGTATCTCGTGCAATGATGATGAACATGATGATGATGATGATGATGGTGATGATGATGGTGATGATGATGTGGGGAATGTAACGTCAGCTTTAACCGCGATCTAACAACCCCAATTTAACCTCTCTTCAGCATCCACGTGATGGAATGTGTAACCCTCGCTTTCCAGGTCATTCGATGATTTACTTAACTTGAGGAGCAGGCTACGCATTTGATAACATTATGTTTGTTTACAAGTGGTTTATTCAATGTTTAGCATGAGCTTGATGATTCGGGGTATTGAAGACGTTGTTGCTCTCGTGAAACGGACATGTATTTACACAGCGTTTTATCAAACAGTAGGTTCATATTTAGTGATTTAGCGCGAGTGATGTGTCATGGTAACGGCCCGGGCGCTTCTTTGAGAGATCAGACAGTCATTCTTAAACCGTGATAAGTTATGGTGACCCACAACTATGTCGGGATACAAAGACATGCGAAAAACAGTTAAAAATAAATTGTTGAATTAACTCCATCCTTAACTAAACGTTGTGGCATAGCATGCGCTATAGATACACGTGGACAATGATAATGGAATGATGATGATGATGATGATGATGATGATGATGATGATGACGAGTATGCCAATAACAATGACGGTAATGGTGAGAGTTGAAATAAAGAAGGCGATAATGAGGTGATGAAGTTGATGATGTTGATGATGATGATGATGATGATGATGGGGAGGATGAGGAGGAAGAGGAGGATAGTTATTAATAAGTATATTAAAACTTTCATTTGAAAAATGTGTAAATGAGACTCCACGACATTTAAGACGACAATCAAAACATCCTATATATCCTATATATATATATATATATATATATATATATATATATCCTATATATATATATATATATATATATATTTATATATATATATATATATATATATATATATATATATATACACACACACACAATCCACAACCATCGAGATCATGACAATAACATGATCGCCTGGTCCAGCAATAAGTGAATATCACCCAAGCCTCCTCACCCCATCCGTCTCATCACCCCCAACTAAATGCCCATCCTCACGGGGATTAAGTCCCAGTGTGGGGGTCAGTGTGAAGACGCCCAGGTCCGACTAATGATAGAGTCAAGCCTCTACATCAAAGCCATCACCGAGGTGTCACGTGGACCGCAAACACTCCCATAAATCACCATGTATGTTCGCACTGAAAGGCATCAACGATCAGTAGCCTGTAAATATAGGTTGTGGGGGTCGGACATATCTAGTTATACCGCGCTAGGGACATTGATGGAGTCATAAAGAAGAGTTGGAGGGGAGATGTGTTTCATTGGTATCATGGTTCACTACATCATTTTCCAATTAAACATCTACACCGACAACGACATCCATTCCCAATCACGTAAAAACCCTGCCACAATTATTTTAATAATTATACCTTACCCACAGCATCCTAACGACATCACGATATGCACCAATTATCTTACGTCAGCATAACCAATTACAAAACAGGAAATATTTCTAGCTTTTTAAGTTAAAATTAACTTTAATAAATCAACTCACCTCGCATTCTTTAAGCGCCCACGGGCCTCCAACGGTAAATCGGACAGGGGTGGGTGCTTTTAGCGGGTGACGGGGTCGAGGTGGGGTCCCGTTGGTCAGCTCCGCCCCCAGGGTCTTTCTCGGCCCATTAGAGCGGGGGGAGGGATAGTCCGCCGCCCACGACAGACGTGGGGTAATGGGGGGAGCCCCTACATCCTTGTCAGCGGGCTCCTGTTTTCGGTTCAGCAAGCCCAGCATTGGAACTCAACTGTCGTCTGCTCCCAGAACCAGAAACATATCCGTTGTGTTAAGATGCTGGTTGTTTGGGGACGGTATTGTATGTAAAGACTGGGACTGTGTGTGTGAAAACATCCATTGTGCGAAGTGCAGAACGCTAGTCCCGAATGTAACGCCAATCCTAACAGAATAGGACGCCAGAGTAAATCACAAAAGCGGTTGTAATCCGATCGAATGCAGCGGCTAGAACACAGAACATTACAGTAACGTGTGACAATACTGTGAACTCAGCCGAACCAATTGACTCGTGATTGAGAGGCTATCGATGATGAAGCTGTCGGGAGGGTGGGGAAGAGGAAAGGGGGATCACCGTGATATTAGGTTGTCAAGGTAACCAGGTAACTGACCAACACCAAATTGAAGTGCTTTTATATCCAAGCGTCCACTGAGCTCATTAACATCCAATCTTGATAAGATCCATAAATCGCAAAGACATTTAAGCTCCATACACACATGACGAATCGTACAGGTGAATATTCATTAAATTGGCATTACTTGGAAACTGAGCCAATATTCCAAATCTATTTCAAAGAAACCTTATTGAAACAGAACGAGATCCATTATGATGTTCTGACGTTAATCCGACATCGACTCTTTAGACTTATCCTGATCAATGAAATTCAAACCTCCAGTGAAAAGCAGACGACAATTTGAACACTGTGAATGGCCAACCCGGCGGTCCATCTTCTCGCCAACATCTCGCCACGGATGGCACTTCACACACAAACGTCATGTAACTCACAAAAGTTTGAACGGCTCATCGTCCCTCCTCTCATATCAACCTCTCCTGTTGTGTTGTGTTTCCAAACATTGAGCGCGTGTGTGAGAGGTCCGGTAAGGCAGACGACACGCTTTCAACCTCGTCAGCTGTTGCCGCAACCTTTGCATCGTCGACCAACCAGCGAGGTACCGACTCCCGGGCGTTGTTCAAATTTGTATACGTTTTTGTTGGAGATCTTCCTCATTTCACGGCTTTGGTCAAAGTTTATCCCGAATATGTTAATTGATAAACTACTCACGATTTGAAGATCCTGTCAGTAAACAGAGCAAATATTGACATTAGATCATCCAACGGCCTGTGGCTTCGGGATAACCTTTTTCCAATGAATTACAGTCGAGGTATTAGTTCAAAGAAGTCCGACTTTGACCTGTTCAGCAGGTACAGAGGACAGTTCACTAACTAACAGGCCTGACCTCTGCAGCCCTAATGCGCCACAACTGACAATGTTTTTCAACAACATAACGAGGTCATTACCTGTTATCTGTAAAACCCATCATCCGATAGATAACCCGTAGGTACGATCATGATTGCAAGTGCCAACTGATGTGATAAGTTTTGTCAGAATAAACCATTAAAATCCAATGAGCCGTGACAACAATATTTTGAAAACGTCCGTCGTTCACTTCGCCATCAAATTCCCATCAAAACATCCCCGTGTTGGGTTTATGAGTCAGAGAACTTTCAATACAAGGTCTCTAAATTCACTGTCTTCAGGTTAACATTAATCTTCTTTCACGACTTAGCGCTCTGCGGCGTGTGTTGTGTTTGAGTCATAATTTAGTAATAAAAAATAAATATGTAAGATACTTATTCATTTAAATCGGTGCACGCAGGCATGCCAAAGGTCCTGAGAACTCCAGTGAACAACTAACAGAGAGACTTTCTCACGAGGCCAAACAATAGACCGTAAATAGGTACAACGATAAATGAAAAGGTTACATATTTGGCCATCAGATCAGATGACGGTTATGAAAAACGAGTTTGCATATACACATTTCACTTGAATACCTTTCATAAATACCCCATAACTCAGGCTTAACAAAAGGAAGCACCATATGTTAAACTACGAAGAATATATATCTACTCATACACGTAATTAATATCGCGCGGACGTGATAGAAGGCAACATGCAGATAATGTAAACATTCTAGATTATTGGTTAGTCGAGCGCGGACGTCGGAGTAAACACCCGTCTCTCCTAATACCTCCTCATTTGAGTTTGACTGTATTGATTAAATGACAAGTTGTTGAAACCGGTCTTTGTTGAACGATGTGGACTGATCAGAACTTCCTGTTCGCGTGCGAAATTCCATTTTCTCTTTTTCGCTCCCCTCGTTACTATACCACATGTTCAACGATAAAAGACCTGGGTATAAATATTGCAAATACAAAAGACTTTGGAAAGCAATAACTTTGTAGGCTGCACTAGCTGTTGCCTGCAGCGGAAATAAATGATTATGATAAGCCGTAAATATTTCTCTCTGTGTTTCAGGGTTACAGCTGTCGTCAGTCAAAGCCCGTGTATTCTAATGTTAAACTTGACTGACCATGTTTTAAACAATGGAGTCAATATTTGGGTTAGAATACTAAATCATTAAACTCTGGTTAATATTTTCTGAATGTAGGCCAAAGTAAATCAAGTGCAGAAGGTAGAAAACGACTGAAAATAGAGCAAAGATATTATTACAAAGCAATAAATTTTAAGACTAGTAACTCTTCGTGCAATATCGATAATAGTCGCATGGTAACTGATTGTATCATATACTTATCTCACCCTCGTGTCTTTTCTTATCACATATGTCGACACGATGCTTGCCGAGGAGTTTTTATTGACATATTTGATATCTAAAGGCACGAGGGTGAGATTCTACTGATCACCAAAAATATATTACTACTGGTTCTACTACTACTACTACTACTACTACTACTACTACTACTACTACTACTACTACTACTACTACTACTACTGTAGACCAACATATAGTCTAAATAATATTATATTACACAATACTATTCTCGACTACTACAATACTTGTACTACTACTACTACTACTATTAGTAACAGGCCATGCATACAGCAGGTCCTGTAAGTGGCAGCAGCGATAAGTAACAGGCCATGCATACAGCGGGTCCTGTAAGTGGTAGCAGCAATAAGTAACAGGCCATGCATACAGCGGGTTCTGTAAGTGGCAGCAGCAATAAGTAACAGGCCATGCATACAGCGGGTTCTGTAAGAGGCAGCAGCAATAAGTAACAGGCCATGCATACAGCGGGTCCTGTAAGTGGCAGCAGCAATAAGTAACAGGCCATGCATACAGCGGGTTCTGTAAGTGACAGCAGCAATAAGTAACATGCAATGCATACAGCGGGTCCTGTAAGAGGCAGCAGCAATAAGTAACAGGCCATGCATACAGCGGGTCCTGTAAGAGGCAGCAGCAATAAGTAACAGGCCATGCATACAGCGGTTCCTGCAAGTGGCAGCAGCAATAAGTAACAGGCAATGCATACAGCGGGTCCTGTAATTGGCAGCATCGATAAGTAACAGGCCATGCATACAGCGGGTCCTGTAATTGGCGGCAGCAATAAGTAACAGGCCATGTATACAGCGGGTCCTGCAAGCGGCAGCAGCAATAAGTAACAGGCCATGCATACAGCGGGTCATGTAAGTGGCAGCAGCAATAAGTAACAGACCATGCATACAGCGGTTCCTGTAAGTGGCCACAGCAATAAGTAACAGGCCATGCATACAGCGGTTCCTGTAAGTGGCCACAGCATTAAGTAACAGGCCATGCATGCAGCGGGTCCTGTAAGTTGCAGCAGCGATAAGTAACAGGCCATGTATACAGCGGGTCCTGTAAGTGGCAGCAGCAATAAGTAACAGGCCATGCATACAGCGGGTCCTGAAATTGGCAGCATCGATAAGTTAAAGGCCATGCATACAGCGGGTCCTGTAATTGGCAGCAGCAAAAAGTAACAGGCCGTGCATACAGCGGGTCCTGTATATGGCAGCAGCAATAAGTAACAGGCCATGCATGCAGCGGGTCCTGTAAGTGGTAGCAGCAATAAGTAACAGGCCATGCATACAGCGGTTCCTGTAAGTGGCCACAGCAATAAGTAACAGGCCATGCATACAGCGGGTCCTGTATATGGCAGCAGCAATAAGTAACAGGCCATGCATTCAGCGGGTCCTGTTATTGGCAGCAGCAATAAGTAACACGCCATGCATACAGCGGGTCCTGCAAGTGGCAGAAGCAATAAGTAACAGGCCATGCATACAGCTGGTCCTGCAAGTGGCAGCAGCAATAAGTAATATGCCATGCATACAGCGGGTCCTGTAAGTGGCCACAGCAATAAGTAACAGGCAATGCATACAGCGGGTCCTGTAATTGGCAGCATCGATAAGTAACAGGCCATGCATACAGCGGTTCCTGCAAGTGGCAGCAGCAATAAGTAACAGGCAATGCATACAGCGGGTCCTGTAATTGGCAGCATCGATAAGTAACAGGCCATGCATACAGCGGGTCCTGTAATTGGCGGCAGCAATAAGTAACAGGCCATGTATACAGCGGGTCCTGCAAGCGGCAGCAGCAATAAGTAACAGGCCATGCATACAGCGGGTCATGTAAGTGGCAGCAGCAATAAGTAACAGACCATGCATACAGCGGTTCCTGTAAGTGGCCACAGCAATAAGTAACAGGCCATGCATACAGCGGTTCCTGTAAGTGGCCACAGCATTAAGTAACAGGCCATGCATGCAGCGGGTCCTGTAAGTTGCAGCAGCGATAAGTAACAGGCCATGTATACAGCGGGTCCTGTAAGTGGCAGCAGCAATAAGTAACAGGCCATGCATACAGCGGGTCCTGAAATTGGCAGCATCGATAAGTTAAAGGCCATGCATACAGCGGGTCCTGTAATTGGCAGCAGCAAAAAGTAACAGGCCGTGCATACAGCGGGTCCTGTATATGGCAGCAGCAATAAGTAACAGGCCATGCATGCAGCGGGTCCTGTAAGTGGTAGCAGCAATAAGTAACAGGCCATGCATACAGCGGTTCCTGTAAGTGGCCACAGCAATAAGTAACAGGCCATGCATACAGCGGGTCCTGTATATGGCAGCAGCAATAAGTAACAGGCCATGCATTCAGCGGGTCCTGTTATTGGCAGCAGCAATAAGTAACAGGCCATGCATACAGCTGGTCCTGCAAGTGGCAGCAGCAATAAGTAATATGCCATGCATACAGCGGGTCCTGTAAGTGGCCACAGCAATAAGTAACAGGCAATGCATACAGCGGGTCCTGTAATTGGCAGCATCGATAAGTAACAGGCCATGCATACAGCGGGTCCTGTAATTGGCGGCAGCAATAAGTAACAGGCCATGCCTACAGCGGGTCCTGCAAGTGGCAGCAGCAATAAGTAACAGGCCATGCATACAGCGGGTCATGTAAGTGGCAGCAGCAATAAGTAACAGACCATGCATACAGCGGTTCCTGTAAGTGGCCACAGCAATAAGTAACAGGCCATGCATACAGCGGTTCCTGTAAGTGGCCACAGCAATAAGTAACAGGCCATGCATGCAGCGGGTCCTGTAAGTTGCAGCAGCGATAAGTAACAGGCCATGCATACAGCGGGTCCTGTAAGAGGCAGCAGCAATAAGTAACAGGCCATGCATGCAGCGGGTCCTGTAAGTTGCAGCAGCGATAAGTAACAGGCCATGTATACAGCGGGTCCTGTAAGTGGCAGCAGCAATAAGTAACAGGCCATGCATACAGCGGGTCCTGAAATTGGCAGCATCGATAAGTAAAAGGCCATGCATACAGCGGGTCCTGTAATTGGCAGCAGCAAAAAGTAACAGGCCGTGCATACAGCGGGTCCTGTAAGTGGCAGCAGCAATAAGTAATATGCCATGCATGCAGCGGGTCCTGTAAGTGGTAGCAGCAATAAGTAACAGGCCATGCATACAGCGGTTCCTGTAAGTGGCCACAGCAATAAGTAACAGGCCATGCATACAGCGGGTCCTGTATATGGCAGCAGCAATAAGTAACAGGCCATGCATTCAGCGGTTCCTGTGATTGGCAGCAGCAATAAGTAACACGCCATGCATACAGCGGGTCCTGTATATGGCAGCAGCAATAAGTAATATGCCATGCATGCAGCGGGTCCTGTAAGTGGTAGCAGCAATAAGTAACAGGCCATGCATACAGCGGTTCCTGTAAGTGGCCACAGCAATAAGTAACAGGCCATGCATACAGCGGGTCCTGTATATGGCAGCAGCAATAAGTAACAGGCCATGCATTCAGCGGGTCCTGTAATTGGCAGCAGCAATAAGTAACACGCCATGCATACAGCGGGTCCTGCAAGTGGCAGAAGCAATAAGTAACAGGCCATGCATACAGCTGGTCCTGCAAGTGGCAGCAGCAATAAGTAATATGCCATGCATACAGCGGGTCCTGTAAGTGGCCACAGCAATAAGTAACAGGCCATGCATACAGCGGGTCCTGCAAGTGGCCACAGGAATAAGTAACAAGCCATGCATACAGCTGGTCCTGTAAGTGGCCACAGCAATAAGTAACAGGCCATGCATGCAGCGGGTCCTGTAAGTGGTAGCAGCAATAAGTAACAGGCCATGCATACAGCAGGTCCTGCAAGTGGCCACAGCAATAAGTAACAGGCCATGCATACAGCGGGTCC